TATATGCTGGAGCCATTTGTAGAACCCCATGTTAACAAAATTAAGGGCTTTGAACTTTATCCTGATATAATGTCACAGGTCTCTGATTAGCCACACTAATATGATAAAAAGGCAGAAATTATCCCTGTCCAGACCAAGAGCTACAGCACAGGTTTTGTGAATTCCCAATTTCCAAATAATGGCAGAGTTTGTTCTTCCCAGTGTTTGATTGCAGCCTTAGTAAATAATGCAATATCACAGTAAAATGTCTCTGAAGGTTTGTGCTGAAAGTGAAAGTGAAAATATTTAACTCAACATTCTCATTTTTACAGACATGAAACCAGGGTCAACCAAGGCTATGATTGTTCTAGAACACACAAGCCAGTTGTTCTGTTAGTAAAAATGATGGTATAAAATAGTAGCAATAGTATGGGCTTCAGTTCAGTTCAGTCACTCAGTCGTGTCCGACTCTTTGCGACCCCACGGACTGCAGCATGCCAGGCTTCCTGTCCATCACCAACTCCCAGAGCTTGCCCAAACTCATGTCCATCGAGTTGGTGATACCATTCAGTCATCTCATCCTCTGTCGTCCCCTTCTCCTCCTGCCTTCAATCTTTCCCATCATCAGGGTCTTTTTCAATGAGATGAGTCAGTTCTTCACATCAGGTAGCCAAAGTATTGGAGCTTCAGCTTCAGCATCAGTCCTTCCAATGAATATTCAGGATTGATTTCCTTTAGGATGGACTGGTGTGATCTCCTTGAAGTCCACGGGACTCGTAAGAGTCATCTCCAAGAACAGTGTGGAGATTCCTTAAAAAACTGGAAATAAAACTGCCATATGATCCAGCAATCCCACTCCTGGGCATACATACCAAGGAAACCAGATCTGAAAGTGACACTTGCACCCCATGTTCATCGCAGCACTTTTTATAATTGCCAGGATATGAAAGCAACCTAGATGCCCATCAGCAGACAAATGGATAAGAAAGCTATGGTACATATACACAATGGAATATTACTCAGCCGTTAAAAAGAATTCATTTGAATCAATTCTAATGAGATGGATGAAACTGGAGCCCGTTAATCAGAGTGAAGTAAGCCAGAAAGATAAAGACCAATACAGTATACTAATGCATATATATGGAATTTAGAAAGATGGTAATGATAACCCTATATGCATAATAGAAAAAGAGACACAGATGTACAGAACAGACTTTTAGACTCTGTGGGAGAAGGCGAGGGTGGGATGTTTAGAGAGAACAGCATCAAAACATGTATATTATCAAGGGTGAAACAGATCACCAGCCCAGGCTGGATGCATGAGACAAGTGCTCGGGGCTGGTACACTGGGAAAACCCAGAGGGATCGAGTAGAGAGGGAGGTGGGAGAGGGGATCGGGATGGGGAATACATGTAAATCCATGTCTGATTCATGTCAATGTACGGCAAAACCACTACAAGATTTTAAAGTAATTAGCCTCCAACTAATAAAAATAAATGAAAAAAAAAGAAAAAAGAGTCATCTCCAAGTACAGGCTTGGAGCTTGATAAATCAGGGTTGGGTGGCCAGCTTTCTTGTGTACAAGGCATGTGACCTTATGCAAGTAATATAACCACTTAAACTAGGAATAATAATAGTACCCACTTATTAAGACTTTTATGCAGATAAATTTTATAATGAATTTGTAGTATTAAGCATAATACTAGTGGATAGTTTACTATTAAATATATATGGCTATTGATGATGATGAGATTCATAATGTTTTCATAATCACCCCAGCCCCATCATCTGCAGAATTTTACTATAAATGTGCATCACATTATACACTCTTATTTTTAAATTTATATTATATATTGTTGTTGTCATTTAGTCACTCTGTCATGTCTGACTCTGTGGCCCCATGGACTATAGTCCTCCATGCTCCTCTGTCCATGGGATTCTCCAGGCAGGAATACTGGAGTGGATTGCCATGCCCTTCTCCAGGGGATCTTCCCGACCCAGGGATCAAACCCTGGTCTCCTGTACATATACACACACAATATTCTGCACAGAGGAGTGTTTAGAATTCCTAGTACAGAGGTTTAATAAACAATTATGCAGAAATACACATTTTTCAAAGTGTCACAACTTAATAATCTGTTATCCAATTAAAATTTTAATTGAAGCAAAGTTCATAAATATGTATTCATCAGGGTGAAAAGAAGATATATTAGTAGTACTGGCATTTTACTAAGCAATTATTTAAATTAAACAACACAATTTTCTGTAATGAGGTAATCTGATTTTCCAAAGACAGTCAATTACATAATATTCTCCTCAATCTGTGAATACATGGTCTCAATAAATCCCCTGCTACCTGGCTACCCTGAAAATACATGTTCCAGGTTTAAAATTCTTCAACTATACTATATATTTTACAAATACACCAGTTTGTAAGTAAATAATGTTTTCTTTTGAACTGCCACATTCATATTCAAAAAATTAATGTTATTTTCTATAACATCTATTCCTTATAATTTGTTATTCAATAATTTTCATGAAAAAAATGTGACATTTTAAGGCACACATTAATTCCCATGATATCAGTATTATTTTGAAGATTAGAAAATACAGTTAGGACCTAATAAAAAACCTTCAGTACATTACTCATTGGATAAAATTCAACTATTTAACTTGGTTCTGTACAGACTGTGAGCTACAACTCAACACTGAAATAGATTGCCTGAAAATATCTTGATTAAATCATAATGACTAACATCTGATTCCCAGGTTCAGTAAATTTTTTACTAAAACCTTAAGATAAATGATTTCTGTATTTATTTACATTTAGGTTTCTTAAAAATCCTCTTAAATACTTGACTGGTTTCTTACTGACTCAACAATAGCATTTAACGTTTAGATATTCTCTAGTAGAAATATCTTTTTATAAGAAAGTTATTACCATGAATATAAACTTGCACGTAACTTATCACATACTTGATTCCCAGATAAAGATCCACTTCTTTGGAAGTCTTTCTCAGGCTTAATAAATTTAAATGATTATGGTAGAGAGTTAAGTGGTTTGCTTTTCAGTTATATTCTTTCTTTTGTTCAGCTTGCTGCTTACAACTGATTAGATTAATAATTTTATAATAATCTAAATAAAAATCAAGCTTTATTCAAGTTAAGGGATATTAGAGGCACTGATTGATTTAATACTTTAGAATATTGATAACAAACTGAATTATTATTGTGAGTTATAGTATAGGAAGGAGAAATTTTAAAAATATATAACATCTGAATTCTGGTGATAGTCACATGTGAGGTGGATCAAGTTCTTTAACTTCTCTGGGGTTCAGTTTCTTTACCTCTGTTACTAAGCAATTACCCATATGCCGTCCAATTAAATTGTATCTTGTTAAAACTTCAGTAATACAGAGAATGAAAAGTGTCAGTGAATTAATTTAAATAAAAAGATTCCTGGAAGGTTAGGAAAACATACAGCCCTTGCAGTTTCAGTACAGTTTTGTCAATGAAAGGAGTTATATGCTGTTACCATATATAATCTATACTTTTCTTCAAACAAGGGAGCTTTTACATATCATGTTTTTAATGAATTTTAAAATGACCAGCTTCCCTTGTGGCTCAGCTGGTAAAGAATCTGCCTGCAATGTGGGAGACCTGAGTTTGATCCCTGGGCTGGGACGATCCCCTGGAGAAGGGAAAGGCTACCCACTCCAGTATTCTGGCCTGGAGAATTCCAAGGACTGTATAGTCCATGGGGTCGCAAAGAGTGGAACACGACTGAGTGACTTTCACTTTCACTTTTTAATGACTGCTAGTCAACCTTCGGGAGAGGCAATGGCACCCCATTCCAGTACTCTTGCCTGGAAAATCCTGTGGACGGAGGAGCCTGGTAGGCTGTGGTACATGGGGTTGCTAAGAGTCAGACATGGCTGAGCGTCTTCACTTTCATGCATTGGAGAAGGAAATGGCAACCCACTCCAGTGTTCTTGCCTGGAGAATCCCAGGGACAGAGGAGCCTGGTGGGCTGCTGTCTATGGGGTCACACAGAGTCGGACACAGCTGAAGTGACTTAGCAGCAGCAGTCAAACATCTAAGCATCTACTATGTACACTCCTGTGCTATAGAGGTGGGAATTCATAACTTTGATTTTTGAAATAAGCTCTATGAAATGTAAAGAAGTACATTCTTAAATTATGCAATAATAGCCTTTCTATTTTGTGAAAACAGACATTGTAACAGTCTGTAAAGTCTGATCTGTTGGTATATGATCAGGCCACTCAAGATGACAGTTCTCTTGCTCTCTTATATGACTTCTGCTCAACCATCCCATGGTTCACTTACACCCTACTCACGTGACTATCCAATCCTCTTAATTATAGGGTTTAATCAGTAACTGCCTACATTCTTGTCCCAGCTTCTGGCTACCCTGATAACTGATGAGCCAACCTGAAGCCAATTCCCCCTATAAACGGCTACCCCACCTCCACCCCCACTGTGAGGACTGCTACTGTGTCCTGACTGCTGTCTGCTATCTGTGATGGGGTGTTGCTCCAGGACTTTCCGACTGTAAGGTTCCCTCAGTACTAGACTGTTGTTTCTTTCACCGGCTCCTGGCTTTCCTTTGTCTCTCAGATGCGCAACTACAGGGTTTGCAAGCATATGGATGTAGCCCAACAGTTGGCAAACCTGTTCAAGGAAATAGCAATTACATAAGCAAAATCCTTTAGTTCATCTGCTTATTTAATTATGCAAAATCTGCTTAATCTTAAAATGAGGGGTACTAAGAACCCATCTGCTTTCTTAGTATTTTTGTAAAAAAAGAAAGGGTTATGGGTAGATTAAGGCTTCAGGCTTCAGCCCTCATTTTGGATCTGCATCTTACGTGTCAAATAAAGGGCAAATTTGGTGGAATTTTTTGGTATTCATTACTGTATTTTCAGGAATACAGTAAGTTGTAAAACATTTGGTAGTGACAGGTCACCCAGGGAAATGTTAATACCTTATCTGTGTTTCAGCTTCTGACATGGCGGAACAGGGGCAGATTCTTGTGATTGCCACCGCGGCAGTGGGAGGATTCACTCTTCTCGTCATTCTTACTCTCTTCTTCTTAATCACTGGCAGGTAACTGAATTATACCAGGATATTTCCAGGATTTGTGGAGAGCCATTCTTCTTATACACTATGTGTTCAAGGACTTTTAAGCTTAAAGAACTGTACCTAGGAGAAAAATAAGTCAGGGAAGATTCCACTTTTGACAAGTGCATCTTTATATGGCAACAGGTCCCAGAACCTGAAAGCAACTGAAGACCTGAGAAAAACACTTTGAAAACAGTGAATGAGAAAAGCCTATTCAATAAGTGACTTCTGAGTTTTTCCTTTACTACAATCAAATGATATCATTAAGTGGATTTTGCTTGGGAAAAAAAGTAGTTCAACAGAGAAATTGAACAATTTATATAAAAGTGCTTTATCAACTTAACATTATAGAAAAAATTTTATCCATTATACTGAACATATTGATATTAGAACTGCATTAATTTGGTTATGTAATCAAGTTACAATATTTTCCTGCTTAAGTGTAATATGGATAAGAATTTTAAATGACAATAAATTTAATGTAGCAAATGACCTAGACTTGAATCCCAACCAGCTGGTCAAAGTACCTCTTCCGCCTAAACCTTAGATTTATATTTTTACACAGTTATGACAAATCATCACTGTTGCAGCTAGTAGTGTCTCAGACGTCATTTAAGCTGTGTCACATTTATCATCAGTTTTAAAGAATGCTTCTAAATTCATTATGGAAGTCCACTCAAATTATATTTTATTTATAGTTATTCAATATGTAGCATAATTACTTCAATTTTTAGGTTATATTTTATGTATTTATAGAATATGAATTAAGGCCTTATTGCCACAGAGTATTTCAGCAAACGATTTAAATATACATGTAGAAAAGTATTTCATTAAAAGATCAGAAAATACTGCCTTAATAGATAAATATGACAAACTTGAAGACCTTACAGTCATTGTCGGCTAAATAAGATTGGCCTGGTAAACCTGAGAGATAGGCACGACTGTTATATTTATTTAGGATTCTCGAAACAGAATTTGAGTACCATTAAAATATGACAAAAACCACTACAATATTGTAAAGTAATTAGCCTCCAACTAATAAAAATAAATGAAAAAAAAAGATTTAATAATGACAAAAATTGAAAGTTGAAAATAATTTGGTACAATTTCCATGTTTGCCAATTTATATGACATCAGAAACTTCATTGACTTTCTATATTAAAAAAAAGTTCAGTTACATAAGATCAAACATTCATTCTAAAGCATGACTTAAGCACTTTGCTAGGGAAGCATTCACTGGAAATTATTCTATGAAAATTTTAAAACATTTGAATAAATATGCAATTTGTCATAGGATCTGAAGCCAAATTCACATTGAAAGATTGGATTGTGCATCACAGATGTATTCTGTTTAACCACTTGGAATTAGCAGTTTGATGAACTGTCAGATAATATGGATGTTGATGAATTTTTCATGCTAAAGAAGTCATAGGAGATAAGTTCCTGCCTCCATTCTTCAGGACATGATTTTTCTAAGAAAACAGAAGACACTTTTACCACTTCCAATTAAAAAAAAGAAAAAGAAAGAAACACGCTGTTCACCACTGAAACTGGAATACAGTTGTCTAAATTTCTGAGTTTCTGAATCAAGAACAGTTTTTCCATTGTGACTTTTAAGGTTATTCATCAACTATAGCTGTTAGAGGCCATATAAGGAAAGATGATTGTCACTGCTTGTTATTCAATATTTTCTAAGCCTCCCATCATTTGGATCAATCAATCTACTTGAGAGTATTTTATTTTTCTTTGAAGCTAATATTGATATATTTTAAAAATTCTATGTAGTATTTTCTATAAAGATGTTCCTAAAAGCTATCATTATGATAAGAATTTTTGCCTATGAGTGGGGAGTATTTTAATTGATATTGGTTCTTATCCAGCATAATTCCTAAATAAGATTCTGTTTACCTCTTATAAAGGTGTCAATGGTACATAAAGGCCAAAATGAAGTCAGAAGAGAAGAGAAGAAAGGACTTACAGAATGGACATTGTAAGTAGTTCAGTGACTTTCTTCCTTGGTTTTCAAGAGTTCATTTTAAACATGTATCCATGACTTGAGAAAGTCAAAGAAGTTCAGTTCCAACCGTTCAGCACTGAGACTTTTCATCTGGTTTCTAGGTTTTCTAGTGAAAATTGCACCTGCTTCTCATTATATGATATTACTTTTTTCCTAATTCTGCTTGCTGGGAAACACAACTGAATATGCTAAAAATATGAGATGACTGATTATATCTAGTTATTTACCACTCACAATGGCTCCAAAACATTAGTTGGTTTTATTTAGTGGATCATTAGCTGTAGAAATAGTAAGGGATTCTTGTTGTTTCTTGTAGGCACTGTCATTTAACATACAACAAATCAATTTAAAATTCATTAACACTAGAAAATCAGCTCTTTAACTCTTAGAATATGTATGAAATCCTTGAGCTGACAACAAGGTTATATTCATTTGAAGGATCTCTTCTGAAGTAAGCTATAATTACCACTATAGTTGGTTTGATAATTCCCACCCCCCACCTCACCCCCCCACCCCCCCCAACCCCCGCCAACACCCACCTCCACCTCCAAATTGCAAACTACTTTGTCAAGGCAGTTTCTAGGTCGTGAGACACTGAATTAACAAGAAAGGGATGTTCTCTAATTAATCATAGCATAGAGATAACATGTGAAGCAAGTTGTTTAACTATTTAAACTCATCTTCTATGTCAAATTGAGCTAAAGTAATAAGGGACTTTTCAACCCATATTACCCTTCAGAGAATGGAAAGGATTTAAGTGAGAAAATTATAAACTGGAGGGTTGCTTTAGGGCTCTTTCTAAGATTCACCTGGCTTCTCTGAGCAGGGTCTGAGGACCAGCTGCCATCAAAGTTTTCACCCTTACCCACCTATGTTCACACTCAGAAGGTCCAGAGTAGGGCTAAGAGATAAGCATTTTTAGAAGACTCTCTTATGTGGTTTTTTCACACAAAGAGTTTTAGGCTCACTGCCCTGGCAGGGAAGGGAGAACTGAGAAAGCTGATACCAGTCATGGGATGAGCCGAAAATAATGTAGACAGATGCAGAAACCTGGATCGAGGCACTTGATCCAGTGACTTAAACTGAATAACCTCAGGGTTCACTGCAGGACATTTACTACTGAACTGCAGAAGAAAAAGTTGCTCCTGAGCATCTGTTTTTACCTATTTTCCAACTAGCAGCTTAGGATAAACTGAACCAGATGGTCCCAGCAAGAAGCAATGAAAATAACCTGAGGAAGCCAAGAAGATAGAAGAAAGATAACAAATATGTGTTTAAGAAGACACAAATAAGTAGTAACAAGATATTCAAAATTGAAACTAGGTTTGGGTTTTTTGCTATACTCCATATATTGTATATACAAGAAAAAATAAGTGATACTCTCCAATCAGTTTATTTTGTTGATGTGTATATCACTTTAAATTATTAAACATTTGAATTGTTAAAACTATGCATAAGTTAATAAATGGCAGGTGTTATCTGTGCATAAAGTAATGTTATCAACATGACCATGTAGATCTAATCATCTAGTAGTAGCCACTGGATTTGATTTAGAGTACTCAGTCAGAAATCACAACTAAGTTACAAAATATCGTTGAGTATGAACTAGAAGTACAAATTATTTGTTCTCATTTTCTCCAATCTAAAGTCAAATTGTTGGGTTTGAGAAGTCAAGAAAAGCATAGCATTTCAGAATCAGTCAAGTCTATCTAGAAATATGCTTTACTGATACAATTTGGGGAAGTGCTGATCTCATTGGTGCCTATCTAGTACTAGAAGACAGTAGGCAAAAAATAATGAAAGAACAGGCATGGAAAAACTCATGGAGCAAATTACTGCTAATGAGCTTTTCATCACCTTCCCTAAACTCATTTTATCACCTTTTGTTTGCTTTTGAGTTTTTCTTGCAAGAACATGTTTCTAAGACCTGGACAATGCTTAACTCAGAGTGTTGTATGACTTTCAAAATCTAAGAAGCAAAAAAAAAAAAAAGACGAGTATAATTAATATGCAATAAATATAGCACTGATCTTTTAACCCCTGCTAATCTATATTAAGTAAAGGTTGACTGTGTGATCATTGCCTATAAAACCATAGCTAAGGAAATGTGTAAAGATGTACTCTAAGAAATGACCTCCTGGCCTCTGGGAACTAACTGTTTAAAGTGGAAAGCAGAAACTAGTGAGCAAAGCAGAGAAATATCTAATGGAGTCTGTGACTTCACATAGAAGTTGCAAATTAATATGCACACAGACATCCAAGTTTTCTAGTCACCCCTATCAATCTTCCTAACTGCCCATGGGCTGTGAGTACCCTCACCCCCACCATAGAAAGAGGAGTATCTATACAGTCAGTGACTGGATTTGGGCCTTTGATGCTTATCCCTTCCTCCAAGATGGACAGTGGATCATTTCCAGGAAAATGTGCCAATTGGCCATAGAAGCAACTACCAGATCACAGGAAAGATCTATGATCCATAGTGTAGTGGTCCTCCCTGCTGCTGTGCCATGGAGTCTGTGCTTTATTGCCTAAGAGTTTCTGAAAGGGGAGAGGCCACTAGAATAGGACATGAATTCAGGAAAACCTAGTACCTTAGAGTAAAAAAGTGCAGGAGGAAATCATAGTTCAGTTCAGATGCTCAGTCGTGCCCGACTCTTTGCAACCCCATGGACTGCAGCATGCCAGGCTTCCCTGTCCATCTCCAACTCCTGGAGTTTACCCAAACTCATGTCCATCGAGTCGGTGATGCTGCCATCCAACCATCTCATCCTCTGTTGTCCCCTTCTCCTCCCACCTTCAATCTTTCCCAGCATCAGGGTCTTTTATAGTGAGTCAGTCCTTCACATAAGATGACCAAAGTATTGGAGCTTCAGCTTCAGCATCAGTCCTTCCAGGAATATTCAGGGCTGATTTTTTTAGGATGGACTGGTTTGATCTCCTTGCAGTCCAAGGGACTCTCAAGAGTCTTCTCCAGCACCACAGTTCCTTAGGAGGGATTCAAAGGGGCATGTTTCTTTGGGGAGAAGGTTCATGCTTTGTTTCTCCCATGTCTCGAGATACATTAAAAGTAAAACATATGGGTGCTAGCGGCTGAGTGCAGCACTTTCACAGCATCATCTTTTAGGATACGAAATAGCTCAACTGGAATTCCATCACCTCCACTAGCTTTGTTCCTAGTGATGCTTCCTAAGGCCCTCTTGACTTCATATTCCATGTCTGGCTCTACGTGAGTGATCACACCATCGTGATTATCTGGGTCATGAAGATCTTTTTTGTCCAGTTCTTTTGTGTATTCTTGTCACCCTTCTTAATATCTTCTGCTTCTGTTAAGTCCATACCATTTCTGTCCTTTATTGAGCCCATCTTTGCATGAAGTATTCCCTTGGTATCTCTAATTTTCTTGCAGAGATCTCTAGTCTTTCCCATTCTATTGTTTTCCTCTATTTCTTTGCACTGATCGCTGAGGAAGGCTTTCTTATCTCTCCTTGCTATTCTTTGAAACTCTGCATTCAAATGGGTATGTCTTTCCTTTTCTCCTTTGCTTTTGGCTTCTCTTCTTTTCACAGCTATTTGTAGGCCTCCTCAGACAGCCATTTCTTTTTTTTTTTTGCATTTCTTTTTGTGGGGATGGTCTTGCTCCCTATCTCCTGTACAATGTCCCGAACCTCCGTCCATAGTTCATCAAGCACTCTGTCGATCAGATCCAGTCCCTTAAATCTATTTATCACTTCCACTGTATGTGCTTGTAAAGGTCAGTTTTCATTCCAATCCCAAAGAAAAGCAATGCCAAAAATGCTCAAACTACCGCACAATTGCAGTCATCTCACACGCTATTAAAGTAATGCTCAAAATTCTCCAAGCCAGGCTCAGCAATACGTGAACCATGAACTTCCAGTGTTCAAGCTGGTTTTAGAAAACGCAGAGGAACCAGAAATCAAATTGCCAACAACCTCTGGATCATCAAAAAAGCAAGAGAGTCCCAGAAAAACATATATTTTTGCTTTATTGACTATGCCAAAACCTTTGACTGTGTTCATTACCACAAACTGTGGAAAATTCTGAAAGAGATGGGCATACCAGACCACCTGACCTGCCTCTGGAGAAATCTGTATGAGGTCAGGAAGCAACAGTTAGAACTGGACATGGAACAACAGACTGGTTCCAAATAGGAAAAGTAGTATATCAAGGCTGTATATTGTCACCCTGCTTATTTAACTTATATGCAGAGTACATCATGAGAAACACTGGGCTGGAGGAAGCACAAGCTGGAATCAAGATTGCTGGGAGAAATATCAATAACCTCAGGTATACAGATGACACCACCCTTATGGCAGAAAGTGAAGAAGAGCTAAAGAGCCTCTTGATGAAAGTGAAAGGAGAGAGTGAAAAAGTTGGCTTAAAGTTCAACATTCAGAAAACTAAGATCATGACATCTGGTCCCATCACTTCATGGGAAATAGATGGGGAAACAGTGGAAACAGTGGCTGACTTTTTTTTTTTTTTGGAGCTCCAAAATCACTGCAAATGGTGATTGCAGCTGTGAAATTAAAAGACACTTACTCCTTGGAAGGAAAGTTATGACCAACCTAGACAGCATATTAAAAAGCAGAGACATTACTTTGCCAACAAAGGTCCATCTAGTCAAAACTGTAGTTTTTCCTGTAGTCATGTATGGATGTGAGAGTTGGACTATAAAGAAAGCTGAGAGCTGAAAAATTGATGCTTTTGAACTGTGGTGTTGGAGAAGACTCTTGATAGTCCCTTGGACTGCAAGGAGATCCAACCAGTCCACCCTAAAGGAGATCAGTCCTGGGTGTTCATTGGAAGGACTGATGTTGAAGCTGAAACTCCAATACTTTGGTCACTAGATGCAAAGAGCTGACTCATTTGAAAAACCCTGATGCTGGGAAAGATTGAAGGTGGGAGGAGAAGGGGATGACAGAGGATGAGATGGTTGGATGGCATCACCAACTCAATGGACATGAGTTTGGGTAAACTCCGGGAGTTGATGATGGACAGGGAGGCCTGGCATGCTTGCAGTCCATGGGGTCGTGAAGAGTCGGACATGACTGAGCAACTGAAGTGAACTGAGTGGCTAAGTGAGCTGATCAAACTTTTTACAGAAATATAATAAAAATGTGTCTTATGGAATTTGTCAGCTCACTCTCTTTGAAACCACCAGGTCATTTTATATCAACAGTTATACAAATAAAATTTTGTTTCCAAGTAGCTAATGGGGTGGTATGGAGGGGTACAAAATTATAAAAGATAATAATTATAAAAGATAATTGATTTTAAGTTAATAATAATGCCTAATGACTCGATTGAAAAATGGGCAGAGGAGCTGAATATACACTTTTATAAAGAAGGCATACAGATGAGTATTTGACACATGGAGAGATGTTCAACATCACTAATCATAAGGAAATAAAAATCAAACCCACAATGAGATATCACCTCATACATGTCAGAATGTTTATTATCAAAAAGACAACAAAGAATAACTTTGGGAAAGGATATAGAGAAGAGGAAACTCTCATGTATGATGGGCAACAGGGTAAACTGGTGCTGACCCTATGGAAAACAGTATGGAGGTGCCTCAAAAAATTAAAAATGGAAATATCATACAATCCAACAATTCCAATTCTGGATATTTTTCTGAAGAATACAAAAACACTAAATTGAAAAATGTGTGCACTCTTGGGCTCAAAACAGTATTGTTTACAATAACTATCATTTTGAAGCGGCCTAAGTGTCATCCTTATTCATCCATCCATAGGTGAGTGAATAAGGAAGATGTGATATATATGTATAATGTAATACTACTTGGCTATAAAGAAGAATAAAATCTTGCCTCTTGTGACAACATGAATGGGTGTAGAACATATTATATGAAGTAAAATAGGGCAGACAGAAAGACCATATGATTTCATTTATATGTGAAATCTAAAAAACAAAACAAATGGACTGGCATAAGAAAACAGAAACAAGCTCATAAATACAGAAAACAAACGGGTGATTGCCAGAGAAGAGGAGAATGAGGGGATGAGTGAAATAAGTGAGGGAGATTAAGAGATACAAACTTCCTTATTAAATAAATCACGGTTACATCATATACAGTACAGGAAAAGTAGTCCATGAAATTTTAATAGCTTTGTTTGGTGGCAGATGGTAATTCGACTTATTGTTGTGATCATTTTATAATGTATAAAAATATTGTACCACTATATTGTACACCTGAAACTAACATAATATTGTGAGTCATTTATACTTCAGTTTAAAAAGAAGGACTATTTTAGTATGTCACTCCTCATTTTAACTATTCACAGGATGTGTGATTTGCTAGAATACTCTTAAACTAATTCAACCTTTTATTCTGTTGCAGTACGCTTTCCAGGAATTAAAACTTATATAGATCCAGATACATATGAAGACCCATCCCTAGCAATCCATGAATTTGCAAAGGAGATTGATCCGTCAAGAATACGCATTGAGAGAGTCATTGGGGCAGGTAACTTTCAAGTCTACATTTTTGAAATTACGATTCCTTGATGGTTTTGTAACTGGTTTATCAACATAATGTTTTAAATCTTAGCAGTTTTAGTCAGTGAAAAAAAAATTTAATGCAAAGTAAAATTATCTTGTATATATGATGTCACTGTTTTAAAAAGTACTGCAAGTTCCCAAATTCAGTTTCCAAACAATGAGAAAATTCACGAACATTGTTAACATCCTGTAGTCATCATTTCAGTATCAAGATAAATTGCAATGAAACTAGAGTGATTCAGGAATTTATTTTGTAAATGCCACTTCAGGAGTTTTTTCATAGGTTACTGTACTTACTCCCCAGCATCTACAGACATATACTATAATTAGTATTCACAGTGATGACCTTGAGGTTCTGCAAGTGTTCTGAGACTCACTGAGTATAAAGTTTGGTTCAATATAGTTTCATATCCCTTTAATGCAAACTAATGATTGTCCCTATGTAGAATATTCAAGTGCTCAGAGCACTATATTATTCAGTTATTCTAGATAAATACAAATTTATTATGAATCAGCCCCCAAGAATTTCTTCTGTACGTTTAGCATAGAGGCCAAGTCAATATAACAAAGAGACCTCAGAATAAAAATGTGTTCCTCTCTCAAGTCCTTGTCCAAGGGGCAAGATGAGTAGCCCGTGCTGTCAGGGAAGCTGACCTTCAGGAGGTCTTGAAAGGACCAGGGTTCCTCCTACTTTTTGCTCTGCCCCCCCCCCCCAGCATGTTTTCCTCCTCTCATTGGTAAAGGCTCATCACCAGCACAGCTCCCTTCTGGTCTCTGAGAAGGAAAAGGAAGGGGTTTAGGCTCTTTGGCTTTGCCTTTAGGAAGATTAGCTTTGTCTTCAAGGTAATAACCTGGAGATAGCAAACAGCAATCAATAGTCCAAATGCAATCACATGGATACACCTAAAAGCAAGAGAGTTTGGAAATACAATCTCTGACTGGGCAGCCATGCATGCAGCTAAAAGGGGGAGCGGAATGTGCTGCTGAATAGAGAAGAAAGACTGGATCCTGAAGGAGGATGTCAGTCTCCTCTAGGTGCTAGGTATCTGTGCAACCCTTTAGAGGGAGCAGAGCATCCCATTCCAACTGGCTATTGTGTCTTTGCAAAGAGCAAAAGGCTTTCTTTATTTCAAAACTCTTCTTCACCAGATGGACTGGCTACATAATTTGCAGGGACCAGTGCAAACAACAAATGTAGTTATTGATGTTCAGTTACTCAGCTGTGACTGCAGCCCTCCAGGCTTCCCTGCCCTAACAAATGTAGAGTTCTTTGTTAGAAAGACTGTTAAGAATTTCAAGACAGTGACAACAGAGCCTTCAGCAAACAGCAGGAGCGTTCTAAACTCAAAGTTCTGTCTGACTACACCCAAGAAGCTGACTGTTACCCAGGTACACACAGAGCTAGCACTGTATTGAGAACTCCAGGAATATTTGAAGAGAGCTCTTTCTTATGTCATTTCACTCCCATTGCTTCATGGGCCATATCTCCTCCAAGGCCTGTTCTCACTCTGAAAGCTGACACAAGGGTCCTATACACTTAAATCTTAATGCTTTATAGCCATAGAGGCTGTCTTATCAGAAAGATTAAGAACCTGGAATGGAACCAGATTCTCTATTCTCTTCTGCCCAACATAAAGTGTATCAATAGGCATTAAAGGCATAATTGAAAAGAGTGACTGATTATACCCATTTAGTTTGGGAGTTCGTTTCCTTAAGACAGCAGAGAAATAGAAAAAAAGGAGGTTGAGTGATTCCATTAAACCCTGTATTTGGCTTTCTTCCTCTGGCCCCTGAGAAAAAGTCGTAGGACTTTTTATTCGGTATTATTCCATACTCATGTAGAGTCAGGAGAATTATTTCTTATAAGTTTTGTGCATAGATTAAGCACCAATGTCTGAAATCATAATGTTGAGAGACAAGCATCAAGTATCTGAGGTGTAAACTGTCAACTGAAAAAAAAAATGCACAATTTAGAAACTGTGAATTGAGTTCATTCATTGTCTTATTATGAACTGTAGCCTGGAAGACAGCCTTTCAATAGCTCTGAGAAACTGTTAGGAAAAGGTAAAGGGGGACTTGACAAATGGGGTACCTGCACCCAGGCACACATGTCCTAGCTGCCCATCATGAGGCACAATTATCTTAGTTAATAGTTTCAGTGCTTTTCTAAGTTTTGTAAGCTATAAGAATCCAGGTTCATAAAAAATTTCTCCAAAAAATTAACTATCTGAAGTCTTGTTCTGCCAGCTTTCCCAGAGCACAGAGTGCCTCATTCCTGATCTCTACCCTGAAATACTTTTAGGGTATATTAAAGGTCAGTGGCTGCCGTAGCTTATGACTCAATCCTTGTAGAGCCAGCTGGCTATAGTGCTGGTGACATTCTTTAGTTTGCAAAACAGATACATTCAGTTTTCCTTTATTGTTTGGATTTTAACCAAAATATGATTTTATCCTATAAAAATATGACAGATACTGCCAAAGCAAGCAATAACTATTAAAGAGACTATTTTAATGTCATGATCTCCCTAAGCTGTCTGAACTCTACAAGTCCCAATGGGATTCTTTCCATTTGGCAAAGAAAGAAGTATAGATATATAGAGTTAACATCAGTGTCTCTTATATTAATTCATCTTCAACTATTTCGACTTTCAAACAATATGCTAAGTGATCTTTTACTGTCTATCTTCAGAAGAATCATAAAAATAAAAATGCTGCATGAGAAAAAGCTGTTATATTATGACTTCCCTCTTTGTGCCCCTGGCCTGTACTAGTCTGCTGTTAGTTAACCTCATTAAGTCACATTGCTAAAACTCTATTTACTTGGGAAAGTCTAATAAATATGTGGGTACTTCCCACAGCAGCGGTATGGAAAAAGCCTGCAATGCAGGAGACCCTGGTTCGATTCCTGGGTCAGGAAGATCTGCTGGAGAAGGGATAGGCTTCCCACTCCAGTATTCCTGGGCTTCCCTGGTGGATCAGCTGGTAAAGAATCTGCCTGCAATGTGGGAGACCTGGGTTCGATCCCTGATTTGGGAAGATCCCTTGGAGAAGGGAAAGGCTACCCACTCCAGTATTCTGGCCTGGAGAATTCCATGGACTGTATAGAACATGGGGTTGCAAAGAGTTGGACACGACTGAGTGACTTTCATCATCATCATCAACCTAAGGGATTAATAGTTTTCTAACATTCATGACATTGTAAGGGAGGAAAAGTTTTCCTCTGTCCTTCTAGGGTCTTTGGCTGGTCTGTTAATTAAACTGGTATAAGATGGGTTAATGGGAGAAAACAAATCTAACTGTGTACTACAAAAACCCCACAGAGAATAATGAGAGGCTCCCCTTGACAGGCAGGCAACTGAAGCTTTCATGCCATTTTGAGAGAAGAAGAGGGTGGGATTTGGGGTTTCACAGGAAGGAAGACTATTCCTAGAGGTTAGGAAGAGCAGGCGTTCAGTAAGCAGACATTTGTCAAGCCTCACAGAGATGATGGGTTACAGAGGAATTTGATCACTAGGCCCTGCCCCCACCCTGCTGCAAGTTTAGGCAACTAACCCTGAGTCTTTGTAGTTATCTTTGTGTTAGCTCTCTTCTGGACCAGGCCCTCCATCTAAGTGGTCTGAGACAGTTAATGGAATGGTATAAAGATCTTCTTCAGTCTGTTGGGCCTTGATTATCTTCAGTTCAAAATACTCCATATTGCCAGAGTGGCATTCTGGGATGACTTGCCCTGAGCCTCAGGAATATAATTGCACATCTTGTTACTTGCCCAATGTTTTACTGTAAATACTTTCCTCTGGTTGTTTCATATTGTTTGTTCTTTCCCCACCTATTTGTTTCTTCTCAGATGCCATTTCCTCCTCATCTGTATGCCTTAGGTATCCCTATTCCGCTTGGAAGAGTAAATTAAGTGACTGAACGGGAAATGTAGACTCTGTAGAGAGGGGAGTGTTGTGGGGAGGATGGGAGAGGTGAGATAGCAGATCTTGGCAATTGTCAGGTGAAAGATATTAATATCGGGTCCCATAAAGCCACTGAGAGTAGCAGTGAGAAGGACACCTAGATTCACAGATCATTGCTGAGGAAAAATCTGCATGGCCTGCATGTTTTTTGGCAAAGAAATAGTTAGGAATGCTTTGCCGGTTTCTAGTTAGGAGAAACTATGTACTGTCATTAAAAGCGAAAGTGAAGTTGCTGAGTCCTGTTCTACTCTTTGCGACCCCATGGACTGTAGTCTGCTAGGCTCCTCCATCCATGGGATTTCCCAGGCAAGAATACTGGAGTGGATTGAGATTTCCTTCTCCAGCGGATCTTCCTGACCCAGGGATCGAACCTGGGTCTCCGGCATTGAAGGCAGACTTTTTACTGTCTGAACCATCAGGGAAGCCCATGTATAATCATTAAGTATTTTTTAAATGTGTTATTAAAAAGTGAACTCCAAAATAGTCACATTAAAATTTTAAGAAAGAAAAAAGCATGGAAAATAATACCACACCTAACCCATGACATTTCTTAACAAGTCTACTGAAAAATGTTTATTACATGACTAATATCTACTTATAAAAAGGCACTATGCTAATTAGTTTATTCATATTAAGTCACTATGCTTATCAAAAACATACATATTCACCCTGCCGTTCACAACCTTTGTCCTGGGTTTTCAACTTTATAACCATTCAAATACTATGGGACAAATTTTAGAAAATTTAATTTATCCTATTTCTAGGCTGTACATATTGCTGTATGCATATGTTCTTAAAAAAAATGTTTTTCCTGTCAGTGTAAATTTTACTATTTTTAAAAATATGTTTTCTAGAACACTTTTTTATATCACTATTATATTTAATAGTGGCAGCTTATCTTTGTTCATCAATACAGGCCTGAATTTCCATGAAAATGCACATTTCCATTTAAATGAAGTGAGGAGCTCTGTTGCATAGGAGACTATCAAGATCATCTATCTCCTTT